CGTAGGGAATATCTGCGGTGCCGGAGCGTAGAGGGTTTCTGACGTGCAGGCAGGGTCCCCGGCAGGGCCTCAGCCAGGTTTTGCGCTTGCTCCCCATTACGGGGTATTTGCGTTGGCAGAGCAGCGGCCGGTACCGAACCGTTGTGACAATTCGGTCTTTGAAGCCTTTGGTCTCTGTTTAAGCCTTGTAGCACGTCCTGGTGAAGGTGTCATGGACCAGGGTGTGAAACGTGCTTATAGATATCACTACCAGCTAAGTTAAAAAACTAAAAAGTCCACATAGGACACATACAACATGCATGGCACAAACCGTGGATATTTTTTTTCTGTGGTAGGATTTAGTTTGTCTTTCTATTGCTTAGAAGGAAGAAATTATAATGAAGGAGTAGGGCAGAGTAGCATCAGAGATACTGCTGAGCTAGCTGCTCTGTTCTTTTATCCCAAGTTACTTTCTGTTTGCTGCCGTTGGATCCTTTTTAGGTCAGACATTCAAAGCAACGTCACAGGAAGCTACAAAGCTGAGTCTGGCATTCTCAGGGCCTCCACTGACTTCTGCAGAGGTGAGTGAAAGCCCCCACAGACTGTGAAATTGCTCTGTGTGTGACAAGTTTCAAGCATCTCTTGGTTCACTTGACTTAAACAAAGTCATTTGCTTCAGTGCAAACAAGGGATGTCAGTGTGGAATGCGCACTGTAGAGCGTATTAATCCAATTCAAGAATTGCCCAAAGAACTAATTTCTGTAAGTCAGGGAGACATACCAAATAGAAGTGTTTTTACATTCTTTTCTTTAACGTCTACAGCTGGTTTCTGAGAGACAGGACAATGCAGAGCTTAGATCTAACAAAGAATATGCAATATTTTTGGCTGTTAATTGAGAAAAGTGTATCACACCTGTGTCTGGAAAGCAAAAACCCTACAGGGCAGAATAATGACCTAAGCTACCCCTTGCTCTCTGATGCATGACCACCCCACCAGGGTGTGTTTTGGTACAGTCATGAGGTGGCTTATGATGTATACAGCTTGCTTACTGTATTATTGTGCTGAGTTTGTTTGTCAAGCAAGATGGCCATTACTGTGCTTCCCTTTTCTCAAGTGATTGCTTGTGAGACTTTCTAAATGTGGTGCAGCCATGCATTGCTCACAGTTAATCCTTTTGCCTGTCCATTTTCAGGATTGCCAGAAGCTGAGTGAAGATGTCCAAAATGCCATTCTTGCAGTTGCCACGGTGTACTACTGGCTCCCCAAGGGCCAAGGTGAGATAGCGAGAGCAGGGCAGTCACCACTATATAAGGCGATGGTTCCTTCAGCACTGTATAAGAAACCCAGTATTTCAGAGCCTAATGCGAGATCTGGCAGCTGCAAGAAAGCAAATTATCATGGGCAGATAGTCCCATTATCAGCTGTTCTGTAGACTTGCAACACATTTATGAGCAAAGCACTTGTCTATCTACTGTAGATTTCCATCTGTGAAAGAGTGATAACTTAGGAAGTATAGCTGTTTAGTTGTATAGTTGGTTGAGCATTCATTTTTATAAAGTGTTGAGATCCTTGTCCAAAGTCCTTTTGGAACAGGGAAACACATTGCTTCCTTCAAAATACTTGAAACTTAATTTATACAGCGTATCTGTGCAAATGGAGCAGTCTGTGTGTTTGTATTCAGCAGCTGCTTTCTGTTGGAGCTGACTTCATGTCAACTTTCTTGCTCTTTCTCGACTTCAACCAGGTACTACTCTTCGGAAGATGGTGCGAGATGCTACCACTGAAGTAGTGGAAGGAATTATCCAACTCACAGAAACAATTCTCAGCGCTCCATTGGAAAGGTAGTAATTTTCCAGGAAAAAAAGGAACAAAAGGTTGCGAGTATGCTTGTTAGAGAGCAGCAAGTGCAAACTGCTCCCTAAGGGAAGGGGGGGAAGCAGAAGTAGAGCATTGTTATGAGGCAGGAAAAGGCACTGGCCTCATCAGCAAAGGCCCTGTCCCCCAGTGTCTGACTAAGCAGAACAGTGTTGGTGAGGGCAGTGAGGTTCAGCCGAGATCATCAGACAAGCCCATAGTAATGAGGTCAAGCTGGAGAGTCAGGATCAGGATGCGGTAATCGGCACCAGACTCCATCCAGTGATTGCCCGGGATGTCCGTTACAATGAGTTGGGACTGGGGTCGAGGCAGAAAGGTTAAATCACTGGGTCAGGATGCAGGTCAGAGTCAAGGGAGAATGAGACTGGGTGCAGACATAACTGCTGCACATCTGTGATGCAGCACAAACGGGGCCCAGTGAAAGAGCCTCTGGGTAAAAGCATCTCCTAGGGTAAGGAAGGGCTGGTCCTCACTTCCAGCTTTCTTCACAATACCTCCTATCAGCAAAGGAGCTGGCCTTGTACGTAGCCGGCTAAGCTCTTCAACTGAAACAACTCCTAGGAGAGTGGAATACACTCAAGGCCCTGACTGTACCCTCATGTCCCAGTGGCTGAGACAGGTACGTTTGCCTACATGCAGAACAGATTTTTCATCCTGTTTGTGGCAAGGGAAGCTGCTGGGAGCAGAATTCCCATGAAGGTACTGGATAGCATTTGCACTGTTTGGCAGTTTTTGCCCTTGGAGTGAACTGTCATACGCAATGATTGTGCAGCTTTGTAAAGCAGTTATTGCACTGCTGCGGACCACTTTCTCTCTTTACAGATTACATGCCACTGCCCTTAAGTAGATACCAACAATCTCTGATACAAACTTCTGATCTGCGTAGATTCTGAAAGAGAAATAATTTGCCTAAGCATGTTGAGAGGCCTTTGTAAGAGGCTTCTGCTTCTTGTTCCAATAGATAATTAAACTCAGTAGGAGCCAGCACGTCCTGCTTTACACAGACATGAGATACTAGTGACAAGTTGGTTGGTGACATCTTTCCAGCAGAGCTTCTACTAGTGTGCATCATCTTTGGAGCAGAAAATAAAAACACCAGTCTAGCAGAGTGGTGTTATTGAGTCTAATTTTGAGGGGGTTTGTTTTGTTTCAGCTTGTCTCAGGAACAGCTTATATCGACTGGTGGTGTGTGGGAGGCGTGTGAGCAAGTGTCTAACCTGCCACGAGGTGAGTATTATATATGCAGAACAACAGAGCTAGAACATGTTTTCTTGGAATACAGTAGCCCTTGCAAGGGGTGTTCTAGCTAGTACAGCGAAGGCTTACTCATTCTGCAAAACCCGAGTGTTTTTGAAATGTATAAGCTTGGAAGCCAGGCCAGATTCTTTGGATGGCAACAGTGCAGCTCTGAGCTTTGCAAAAAGTTTGATCCTATAATCTCAAGATCTAACGATTGCAAACCTGGAAGAATGTTGTTGCAAGCTGATCTGAATCAGTGCAGTGCTACAGTTTGCATCCTTCTGCTTTTTCAGATAACCAGGCGGCAGTTGCGTCAGCTCTGGCTGCATGTCTAGGTGTGGTCAAGGATGCTCTGGAGGAGATGGAACATGTAAGGAAGACCGTTAGCCTTTGAGGAGCCTGCTGTGAGGGATTGCAGTGGTCGTTCAGTGATGAAACACAGGGATTGTTTTATATACAGGCTTGGTTTAAATTTGTTCTGATGTGAATTAGATTATTGTATTATATCTGGATTTTAATGAGTTTTTAAATGCAGTCCTGGTTTACTTTATCTAAGGTTGCCATAAAGCCATGTCCTGCATTGCAGGGGGGAGAAGTGGGGCAGGGCGGTTTAGGTTGATGTGAGGATGGCACTGTTTTCCAGGTTTTTACTGTTTGCTCTGTTGAACTGTAGCAGGGGATTAGTTTTTCTTAATCCAGTCCAGCTAGGATTAACAGAATCTGGCAACTGAGATGTTAGCTGGGAAGAGATTCCTCTGTAAATTATTTGTATGGTTTCCTAGATTGTTTTCCCTTTTCTTCTGGGTATTTCTGGAGTTGATGTTAGGCTCTGGGCTCTCAGTGCATCTGTGTTCTCAGGCTCTGGTGGAAGGGCAAGACCCATACAGTGACATCATGGAAGATGAAGAGCTGGGCGTTCGGGGCAACAGAGATACGTATTGGTCAGAAGCTGACCGGAAGCTGCTTAGCTCCTGCATGGGATTAATGAAGGCTTCTAAGGCTTGTCTGAAGAAGGTCTTGGGTGTAGTGAAGGCTTATGGCAAAGCTGATTCTCCAGAGCAGATAGCTCAGCTGGATGATCTTGCAGACATTGCAAACGAGATCAGTCCAAGGTAAGGAGCTCTCTCCCCATGCCACTTTTTGCTCCACAGCAGTCTCTGTCTTACTTGAGGTCCAGAGAATGGATTAGGAAAACCTTTGAGACTGAAGCTGTGGTGGAAGCAGGTGTGGTGGGAAGGCTAATATGGCACGGGCTGTTGAGAGATATGCAAATGTGGAGAGGACCATGAGCGGAGCTGTGTCTGTGTCTGACGCTGAGGCAAGAGTTGGCACACAGATGTCTGAGAAGGCAGTGAGAAGCATCCCATGGGTATGACTGACATGCACTGCTGTTCCTGTCTCAGATTCAGAGTGGGTGTAGGCTTTGACCTACATGACTTGTGTTGTCAGGACCTGTTTTCCATTGTTCCCCTCTCTTCTATTCTAGTGTTGATGAGCTGGCACTGAGCATGTACCCACCTGTAAACGAGCTGGCTGTGCGACTCAATGTAAGTATCTGCAGCCCGCATGCGGGTCTACCTGCTTGTCTGTAGAGAAGGAGAAATCTAATTGGAGGGATTATGTCACTGTCAGGCAGAGGTGGGTGTTTGTGACTGTCTCAGTAAGAAGCCCTTAGGGATGAAGAGTCTTCTTTGGTTCTTGTACACTTAGCTTCCTTCAGATGGAAATGCATTCCTCATCTTTACTTCTTCAGGGAAGAGCATGGCTGCTTGAGCTGTGGCTCTGAACTATAATCCATAGCGATGTCCAATGACAGTACCTCAGGAAAGTGAGGTCTAAGGCTACAGTATACTGCATGTCTGCTTTCTTCCTTGGGTAATGTAGACTTGCTCAAATAAAGTAATGTGAACTAAAAATAGAAATGAAAAATTCTCACATTGAGTGTGGTTAGGCACTGGAACAAGCTGCTCAGAGAAGCGGCTGAATCTCCATCTCTGGCACTACTCAAAATATGACTGGGCAAGGCCTTGAGTAACCCGACTGAACTTCAGAGTGGGCCTTGCTTGGAGCAGGAGGTTGTACTGGATGACTTCCAGGGGTCCCTTCAATCATAAATTAAGTATGTATCTTCTTTTTATCTGAGGCTTTTTATTCTTAATCCTGGTTTTATGCCTTTGGCCGGGAGCTTGATTTTTGGGGGTACATGAAGAAAAGTATTGCTTAATATCAGATTACATTACCGTTAGTCACTTGTAACTTCATGCCTTAATATCGGTTACCAATTTCTAATAGGTGTATCTTTTTAAAGAAAAAGCATTTTAATGCAGGCTTTAAAAAACAGCCTGTCTTTATGTTCTCTTGTCCCAGCCAGCAGTAGGTTGGGCGACACTCCCAGCATGGCAGTGATAGGTAGCTTCTGCATCGGGGTCTGTGGCATTTTTACTCATTCTTGGCTGTGTTGGATATTCCTACACCCCTCTTTCTATTCCAATAGCGCTGGGTCCCATTCTTTCCATGTTTGGCTCACTTTATTTCTCTTTTTGTTTGTTTCTAGGCTGCTAAGTTGGCCTCGGTATTAAAGAAAGCCTTAGAGATTACAAAGTGAGTATGAGTTACAGTGTCATACATTCCCTGCTATGAAGACTGGTATCTTTATGCCTCCTGTCAAAGGCGACTCATTTTTACACAGCAAATGGTGGCACTTTGGAATAATGATGATGTTAACCATTCACAAAGAGATGGGAGTAAGGAAACGACGTTAGGGATGAAAGTGATTCCCACTGAAGACACAAACATATGTGTTAAGGTTTGGGGGTAGAGATATGCATGTGGGGTCTTCCTTGCTGAAAGGACTCTGGGGCTATAGCAGTCCTGTTTTAATGCTGTGGTAATTCAGCTCTTCATAATACCCGTGTGCTGTCTGGATGCATAGGTATAAGACACCCAGGAGGCTTTCCTAATTAATTTCCTCCACTTTTGCAGGACAAGCCATGTATGTCCACCATCAGAGGAAGGCTGGGTGCAGTTTCTAACTGGTGCAGTAGATCACAACATGAACAAAATCAAGAACTTCACTCAGGGTCAACTTTAGCTCTTCCTTGTCTACGTGTGTTGCTGCCGCTGGCTCTGGCAGAGGCTTTTCCAGTGAATGTCGCTGTTCCCCGGCTACTGGGAGAATGATGAGGACAATGTTTTTTAGGAGAAAACCTGCCAATTTGTAAAGCTTTCCCAGGGAGCTACCCTTTGCCATTGCAGAAGGCGTTGCTTTGTTTGAATTCCTGGGATGGTGCAGTGCTGCATCTTCATGCTGTGAATGTACCCCGTTCTTCAGACAGTACAACTATGGGGTTCAAAGAACAATAAAATATTGCTAGATTTGCATGAGTGGCTTTATATGTTTTCAAATGGCACAGGATATATACAGAAGGAGAGGGTCTTGCTGCTTTTGCAAGCAGCCTGATGAGCCATTAAAAAATAGGCAGCACTGCTGCCATTTCCCGTCTAATATTAGAGCAGTGAGCTATCTTTCTCTTTTTCCTCAGAAAGCAGTAGGAAAATACTATTTACTACTTTAACAATGACAAGAATCTGTAGGGGGATAAGAGTATATCTCTGGAGAAATGCTACATCATCACTTTTAAGTTCTAAAATACCCTTTTTTGTCACGGGCAAGGAAAAATGAGTAAGCAGTTGAGTTCAGCACTTATGCATAGTGTGGAGTGCAGCATCTGCTTGAGGATTTAGCCTATCTTTGTCACAGTGAAGTTCAAGTTATAAAACTGGAAAGTGGGCATAGCGGCAGAAGGGCGGGAGTTGAGTTTGTACAAATAACTGAAGTCAGACATGGTTTTAAATACAACTTTAATTAACTGTTAGCATCTATGCTTGCCTAAGATCGGGGCACAGATCATGACCACTCTTTCGTAAACAGGACAGCAGGACCCGTTGCAAGTTTGGCGTCAGGCAGTTGCAATGTCGATAGTTTTGTAGCTCTTCAGGTTCTGGAGTTGACGACAGGTAAGATGTGCAGTGAGTCTCCGGGGCCCTGCTTGCGTGGGGGTGAATGGGATTTGCAGCTGTTGGGTGCTTTTAGGTGGCACAGGACCTAACCTGAAAGGCAAGAAGGGATTATACAGGACGCGTACCACTTGGTATTTCTGGTTCCCAGGGCGTTTGCTAGACAGGAGTGGAAAGGAAAAAAAAAAAGGCAGTAGAAGGTGGCCAGCAGTTATCTGAACTACCACAGTGGAGTTGTGATCTGACAGTACTTTGTGAGGGAGATGTGGCAGGAGAGTTGAACTCCCTGTGGAGGCATCTATGGCTACATTGTCCTAATGCAGCTTCTCAAGAGAAATGTGTTCTGTTTTCACCTGAAGGAGAGCGTGTGTTTTTTGATTACTCTTGGCTGAGTCTGGTTTGCCTGGTTCTTCAGTAGAGAAGGGAGAGACACTATTAAAATTGTACCTAGGGTCTGTCTTTATTGCAGACAGTGGGCAATGGGTGGAAAGATATGTCACAGACATTCTAGTTTTACCCCGCTTCTGGATATTCAAGTGGCTATCTGAAAAGCAGTTTATTTCTCAACAGCAAATAGTTTCTGAATTTCATAGCTCAATTCAGTGGCTTGTAACTGTTGTCTTAGTTAATGAGTGTTTCTGCATAAGTATTGTGGTGCTGCTTTTGTTGCCCTATTTGTTGTCAGGGAGCTTTCTTTCTGTCTAGGCCTTTGGGCTTGAAGCTTTCACAAATGTCATACTGGCTTCAACTTATGTATTACACATCTGTTCAAGGTTCTGTTATCTGGCTTTTCTCCTTTTCAGTGTGAAAACTGTATGGTTTATCTGTAAATAAAGGACAGGATGCCTGAGGCTTTCATGCTGTAGCAGTCTCTTCCTGCCATGTTTTGCCCATTTATTTTTGGGGAGAGCCATTTCTGTGCAAGCTTTTCTGTAGCTTGTATTGTGTCTCTTTTACCATTTTACTGTTCTTAGATCAAGCAGTTTGCACTTACCTGTACTTCCTTTGTCTGTAAATGAGCCCTCGCCCTGCAACCACTATAACACACTTCTCCAAGGGTTCAGTGAGAGGATTCAGGAGGCTGATCTTTGCTGTGCTTGGCTGATACTGTACCATGTTTTCTGGAAACTGTTGAAAGAAGAAAATGAGCTGAAACTGAGAGAAGGAGAGAAAGATTCTTCTGTGATTCAAAGGAGAATAATGATTTTATTTATTTTTTTGTTTTTTTGGTGCCAGAGGTCTCGGTCTAAGTTGCCAATTGCCAGAAGAGGCACAGTCCACCTTACATTCTCTTCAACTGTAGTCTTCTGCTATAGTTTCCCTCTGCAGCCTCTGATTTCCGGACTGGCGAGTTAGGAGTCATTGGGATTTCCTTCTACTCACACATGGGCAAAGTAGAAGTGAGAGAACTGTATACAGCAGTGTGGCACAGCTCACCTTTCCCAACTGATTCTCAGTGCTTTGAAAGCGGACAGCATCCCAACAGATTTATTTTTTATTTTTTTGCCACTTGTGACTATAAATACTGCAGTAACAGAATGATAGACTAATCAAACCTCAATAGTGAGAGGGGGATCACAAATGCTGATCTCTTCCTGTGCAAAGTATATGTAGAAGGAGTCCTCATCTCTCAGCATGGCGGTCAGCCTAAGCAGACGGTTCTCTCCCAACTCTTCTCTGTACCGTGAGTAAGGCACGAAGACTTGCAGGTTTTTAGCTGGAAGACAGAGTGGTGAAATACAGATGGCAGTGCAGATAAGTACAGTCTGGTCTTAGCCTGCACAGCACCTAGGAGTGTTTAGTGCCCCACACTGTACTAAAATCTGCAGCATCTAAAAGCTTAAGTGATCCCAAGTGGATTTGCAGATTCAAAATCTCTAAGGTAATGTTGCCAAAGTGTTTTATTTCAATCATCTACAATTAGCTATTCAGCCAGCTTTTTGTAAACTAATGGCTAAGTGCATTTTCCTTGAAGTGAGAGGGCTAGATGTACTTTTCTAGCCATGCACCCAGTAGAGTCCTTACCTTCATTGGTTTTGAGGATAAAATTAAACTCTTCCTTCCAAAGTTGGGTAATGGGCACGCCATTATAATGTAGAGCCTGGGCCCCAATTACCAGGTGAGTAGCTTTTTCTCCACCACTGTGGTTAAACACGTCAATGGAAAGCGGAAAATCTTGACCCAGTAGCAGAGAACTCTTGGACTGGAGGTGGATGAAAAGGTTAACTGGCTCTTCAAGGGTAGCAGGAATGGAGCTAAGCTGCGGTTCAGTGCTGCTGCTGGTTGTCTCAAGTTTCTTTATCTTTCTGTAGGCTTTGTCAAGTGCTACTCTTTCCTGAAGAGAACCTGTCACAAAAAAGGGAGCACATATTTTGGTGTTCTTTCCTGTTTACTAGGGATGTGTGCAGCAGTAAATGCAGGAGGATGATGCTGGATTATCCCGGCAGTACTGTAGATAACTTTCTAAGAGCATGGAGAGAGATCCTGCTGTGTGTCTGGTTGGAGCAGTTCAAGAATTTCAGCTGACAGGACATACATTGGATGTACCTGAAAGATTCTACTTGGAAAGATTTGTCACAGTTTTTAAAACGCCTTGGTGCTAACATTTGTCAGTAAAAGAGGCAGTTGCCTCTTTAACTGTAGCTGTAGCTAGGGCATAGCGCTGTTCTCTGGGAATAGGCTGCAGCCAAGGACACAACATGCCATAGGCTGAGGTGGCAGGGCTGGGTCAGGGAAACAGCACTCAGTGATAAATTCTGAAGGGGAAACTACTTTTTGAGGGAGGGATGTAGGCAATATCTGGGAGCACAGCAGTCCTTTTCAGAAGGCTGGAGTCTGAAATATGTCTGGGGTAATGAGAGGTGAATGTACAGAGTGAGAAATCGGGAAGGAATTTTTTCCAGACAGGAAAATGCCTGGTGAAGAAAGGCCTGGCCTTCTAGAGAGCTATTTAATGTAATTAAGCAGGATGAAATTCGGGGTATGACCTGTGCTTTGATTCTGTAGACAGCAAGAGTAAGGTGTTCTTTGCGACTCAGGAAGGGAAGTAGGGAGAAGTGGATGGCCCTAATGCTCTGGTGTGGCGCTGCTCTCTAGTCCTTTACTCTTCACTTGTAACCCTGGCAGGAAATGTGCTCAGCCACTTGCCTACCCCATACCTTCAGGATACTTGTAGTTTTGTGTGATATCCTCACAGCGTTCACTGCCCACACTCTTGGTGCTGATGTTGTTGCCAGTGTACTTTGTGCTACCGAGAGCTGGCTTGAGAGTGTCATCTGCTTTTTGTATCCAGACCTGGCACTTGGCATTGATGGCAGCAAAGAAGTAGCAGACATCATAATCAACTTCCGTGTCCCCTTCCTTGATGGCCTGAACAGGGGCTGGCCCGCAGAAGGATGGACCTGAAGAGAAAATGCGGCCCAGTTAAGATTCAGAAGCTTTACCAAGTAGGGTATCTAGTTTAGGAGGACATTAGGGAGCGGCGTTGTTACAGAGCTCTTAGAGCTACACAAGCTGCACAAACCAAACAGATGAATGATGATTTAGTGCCTAAAGTCAACAGGGTGAGTCTCTGTCCTTTTGCATCCTTCCATTGAAAGTTGTGGAAGGGGGAAAATGTTGAACTGTTCCACTCCTCCAAGCTCATCTTTGGTATCTTACCTTTGCTTTTTTTCTGGCAGGTGGCATCCAGTGCCTGCCACCCGCTGTACTCTGGTAGCAAGTCTGCTCGAGCCATCCAGCATTCGTTCCAAGCGTGGAAGGTCCTGCAAGAGACAACATCAAGTGCTTATACCAAGGGACTGAGCCCTGAGGTACGGTAAAGTTTAAGCTAAACCACAGCCAATTAATGCTGCTTTGAAAGAGCTCGGTGCATGTTGAGGAAAGCAGAGACCATGGGTTTTGACACAAGTGGAGTTTCTCTAGCTGGACTGGGCTATCATTCTTCCTTTGTGGACCCTAGTAATAGGGCACTCCTCTGTTTTGGTTGCAGTGGTTTCTCAAGAACAGGTCATGTAGACAGGATCTCAGCTGAGCTGTCCCCTATCTACCTCCCTGCAGCTGCTTACCTCTTTCTTCACCCCACCTCCCCACCACCCTCAGATCACTTCCGAGATCCAGGTGTTGTCTCAAATTCTTGCTTGGGCCCTTCCCCGTTTTCTTACCAGACACGGGCACTCTTGTCTTGTGTAAGCAGTGTCCCATCTTCATCGTAATACTCATCCACACTCAGGCTGCTGTTAGTGTTGTGAGCCCACGTAAAACCTGTGACCACTCTGGTAGGAATTCCCAGGCACCTCAGAACTGTGCAGAAGAAAGAGCTGTGAATCAGTTGTGCATCCTGCCCTAAGGGTGTCTCTGCTGATAGATGTAGAGCCCTTTTTGGTGCTTAGCCTATTAGGAATAGCACCAGGCCTTCTGTTTGGACTTTGCAGGAGGCACTGCCCCCTCAGGCAATAAACTATCATAGGTGCCTTTGGTGAATGGTGTCTACTGACACTCTTATCTTAAAACTAGCAGTGCTGAATGTTGATGAGGAAACTCTGAGGATCTGCCTCTCACCTGAAGATTAAAGGTTGCGTTACTGGAATCTGTGTTAATCCAGAAATTTAGGCATGTGAGAGAGGTTCTCCAGACCAAACGAGACTTTGTTCAACACAAGTCTGACCACTGCTGTACCTGAACACATCACTGCAGCGAACACCCAGCACTGCCCGTAGCGGACAGGCTTGCATTGCGATGAAACCCACTGCTGGAGTATGGGGATGCTTCCCAGCCACTTAGAAGGGGATGTCCCATTGTAGTGTTGGCCGGTCCCATATTCTGTGAGGATTCCTCTGAACTCATTGCAGTTTAGCTGCAGGGAAGGAGGAGAGAAAGATGGATTAAGGCATTGCGTCTCTTTGGTAGGTGTACCTCATCCCGTTTGATGAAGCTACTCCTAAGGCAGATGAAACCAAAAGGATTTCTTTCGCAAAGCATGAAGGTTATGGCTGAGCAGAACAGGTAAACAACAGTCTACCCTGAGATTTATTCAGTAAGTGTACTGTCACTGCTAAGAAACTCCTGCAAGAGAACTTGTCTGCTGCAGGAATATCAAGAGCGGCTGGAGATGGGCAGGAGGTGTTGTTTGGAACAGCCCCGGGAAGGCAATCGTCTTTGCTCAGTGGCTTGAGAAGATGCTAGCCTTGCTCTGCATTCGGGTTTTCTCTGCTAGGGTCAGGGCTGCTGTCTGCTCTCCTTACCATGGCAGCAACTATGCGGCAGATGTAAATAGGACTCTTGCGCTGGGTGTGATCCTTGTGTCGTTGATGGTGTTCACCGACATCCAGCAGTGTGAAGCAGATGTCAACAATATCTTCCTCAAACTGAAACAAGAACACATTATTTCAGGAAATTTGACCTGAACAGTTGTTCTATGGAGTCCCTGCAAGGATTTGTAACTGTGCAGATTATTTCTCCCTTTCTGCTTGTAGTCTGATGTATGTGGACTATGGAGGAAAGCCCTAGGCAGAGATTTAGAGGGGAAGCACAACGTACTAAAGGCAGACCTACAGCTTCATTGCAGCAAAGTGGGAAATGCATTAGCATGATGGTGTATCCTCTGATTGAGGGAAATTGATGTTTTTCTGGAGCACTCTCTAGGTTGGCACAGCGGTACTTTTGTGATCTGGTGGTGTCAGTAGGGGGAATAAAATCCCATTGTAATCACTGGCTGGGTCAGATGGACCTGGGCAGATTGGAAGATGTACTTGTCCTCACTTTAGCTGTAAAATAGAGGCAGTATTATGAAGCTCTGTTAAATGCTTTTAAATCTGTTGATGAAAGGATGGTATGCAAAACCCAGGTATAGATCAATGCATTTCTTCATAGAGGACAGCCTGAGAAGGTGGTAAAAATTACATATACTGGGTTATGGGACTTCATACACAGATCCCTGTTCTCCTGCACAGTCTTAGAGGTAGTGAGTGCAGAGAGTAAGTTCTTTCATCGAAGCCACAGTATGGAAATGGAGAGCAACCTGTGCACACAGGAGACAGGCACCCTTGATCTGCTGGTGGCTGTAAGAGAGCACAGATGTACAGTGCCTATTGCTTACCTGACTGAAATCCCAGGGTTGTGCTAGGACTTCATTTTCAGTCCCCCAGTAGATGACACCCTCTTGGTTTAAAATGTACTCCTGCCGCTGTGCCTCATTAGCCAAGAACACCTCATCATCTAGATTAGAGGAAAAAAGCATCAGAAAGCAAGCATTCCTGGTCTCAGATGCACTTGCATTTATTTCTCTTACATCGCAGACTTCACGGCAGTCCAGGGACTTAGGAAGTGCCTGGCATTCTGCCCTGGAAAAATACCACAGATTGTGAATTGAACAGAAGAGAAGAATTTGTCATCTCTGTTTCTTTGTTCAAAAAGTTCCTCCAGACCTAGGCTAGTGCACTAGCTAGCTCTTTTACTCTCCTGACTGTTAACTTCTCTAATCCTAAGAAAGATACAGTGGCCTTAATCAGACCAATTGTAATCTTGACTCATCCTAAAATCTCTGTTATAGGACACACTTTGTCAAACATTTTTCCCGTTAGCAGAAGCACAGGGCTCTTGCAGTGGAGCATTCCAGGAACAGGGCAGAAGTGCTAGGGCAGGCAGCTTTGAGCTTTTATTGGCCCTGACCTCCTGCCTAAGGTGCTGTGAGGAACAGGGCAGGAGTGGTGAGGAGCATGAGGTACATCAGCCTCCAGGGAGGCAGAGCTCAAGAGCTGCTTTTTGGAGTGACTGATCCAGCCTGCCTTTGTTTCTGACCACGTACCTTGGCACCAGGGATTAAAGAGAAGGGTGAAGTTGCCCAGGAGACAGTAAGACTTGGAGGTGTGTAAAAGCAGAGCATATTGGCCGATGGGGGCGTTGGCGGGTGCGTTCACAGAGATGGTCCAGAAGCACGGGTCCTGTTCTTCCAGTGCTGCGCTCCACTGCGTCTGGTCTCCCAGGCTGGAGATGGGAAATTCCGTCTGAGTTCCATCTGCTTTGGAAGGATGCGGTCCTGCAGCCAAAGAGATGTGGTTGTATCTATTGCAGACAAGCATCCTCACCCCATGCTGATTGCAGGGACCTTGTCTATGTCTGGAGCCATGGCTCTTCTTTCTTATGAGAGAGTCTTAACCCTTCAGCAGCCTAACGCCTGGTGAATCTTCCTGTGGTTAGTACTGTACTCAGGCCTCCCTGTTTGAAAGTGGGATGTGTTTTTCATAGGTTTGTAGAAACCAGGAACAGGCCAAACCTGCTGCTCCTGGGATTCAGTGTCTTGTAACAAAAGTCATAGCCAAATGCTTAAATTATGGTAAAACAAGCGGGGGCTGAATACTGCTGCCCTTCTTAGGGGTCTCACTAGAAAACGCTCTTTAACAGCAAACATCTGTAACAGGCTAGCCAAATTTGAACGCTCCTAAAGCAAAAGATAGGAGAGATCCAGTGAGCACTTCCAATCATAGAGTAGTGATCCTGCATTGGTTATTGTGCTTTTCTGGAAAGAGATCTAGTTTTGACCCTACAGTCCCAGCAGCAGGAGACTTGACTGCTTTACTCTGCCTTAGATGAACAGCTCACCTCTAGATGTGGATACCTTTGTCCAGCTCTGGAGATGGCTTTTGCCACCAGTTCTGTTCTTCGGGTGGGTGGAGGAACAGAGCTGCGATAGGCATGGTAGTGATGTTACCTGTCTGTACTATGAGGAAGGTCCTCTTCAGCTGCTGCAGGTAGCTGTGTATTGGAGCTGAGAAGCTCACGGTGACAGTGAATGGCTGTCCCCGCCTCACCATAAGCCTTTTAGTGCTGATTTCTTCTGTGTGGTGGTTACTGTTGTTCTTTGTGATCTTAAAATCACATTTTTTGATGCTCAGACCTGTAGTGTGAGAGGATATAGAATGAGTTTGGGGCCGTGAGTTGCCCAGTCTGGCCCTGGGCCACGTCCTGAGATACACAAACAGCCAATAGTGTTTCCCCACTCAGACGTATCTCCCTGCCTTAGAAACCTTCTGCCCAGTGACTATAAGGAGCTTCATTCTTCATGGTTTTCATTTGTCTGCTCTCTCTTTATGTCTAACTTGCCTTGTCCTCTGCATTGATACCTTCTCCCATTGCTGTTGTCCCTTCTGTGTTTGTTGCACGAGTCCCACTGGATCGTGTGTGTTTTGGTTTGTTTTTTTTTCCCCATATGAATTTTGTCATGTGTTTTCCGTGAATGATTCTGGTCTGGCTTTTAAATCCCTTTACAGCTGTCCTTGTTCATAGTCCTGCACCAGTTCAAGCTTTGCAGAGTCAGCTCTGACCTCATATATTTTCTTCTTGGTGACCAAGATGACTGTTCTGGCAATCTTGTAGACTGGTGAGTTGTATGCACTCTGACTCCTGCTCTTCCCTATGACTTTCTTGGATCTTATTGCCACTTTCTCAAAGGTTCCTCGGAACCTGGCCCCTCTCCCTGCTCAAGTGGCTACAACACTTAGTATTCTCTCTTCTCAATTTTGTAGTCTGGCTTACCTTCTGCCACCCCTGTCCCCCTATCCTCTGTTATGGATAACACCTCTGCCGGTGCTTCCAGACTCTTTCATGTCTGCCTTAGCTGCCTCTTACTCCTTCTCTCAAACTCCTCTCAGGCATTGCTGCCAGCTTCTCTTTGCTGTGCCTTTTTGTGCAGTGTGCTGTACAAAAGTCCCTTAGCCTTTAGAGCACTTTCTTGGCTCCTGCCCTGTAAGAAGCTCACCTCATCTACGAGCCTTATGAGCACTGTCTCGGAGCAGGGACAGTTGTTTTTTTTGGTTTTTTTCAGACATAAAACTAGCAAATGCTTGGGACTAACCAAAGTGATATTTTTGCTTACCTTGGCCCATGTCTAGTTCCCTGTACCGTGAAAGACTTCAGCTCCTGCTTGCTCCGGTAGGCAATGGTTCCTTCCTTCAGCTTTCTTAAAAAATCATCCACTTGTGAAGTTGTTTGTTCAGTTCCTTTATCAAGGGTGGGACATGAAGTTGCCAGCTCTCCATCAGCTTATCTTGCTGGCCTGCTGTGCAGAAGTTTAGGGCTCCCTTATCTCTCAGACCACACTAAAGAGCAGAAAGGGGTGACTTTTCCTACCTACAGATGAGGCTAAATTCCGCAGCGGGATGTGAAGCCTATAAAGACAGCCAGTGACAATTTCTTCAAAGAGGACCCCAGAGTAGGAAATGCAAGTCTTAGCTTGCACAGAATGCACTTCAAATGTAAGTGCTGAAGAGCTGCTCTCCAACACTGACCCAGAGCTACTTCGATCCTAAACACTTCAAGGAATGTAAAAAAAAAAACAAGTGAATGCCTCTGTTGCCTTTGTGTCTAATTCAGAAAAGTGAAACTATTTCAAAATGGGGAAACTTCTTAAAAGTAACACCTCAAAAGTAGAATTTCTGTAGCATAATGCAGACTATTTAAAAAACATCACACTAGAGACTCAGGACTAAAGAAATTCTTAAAGTGGAGTAGTAAAGGTGAGAGACAGCTTTGTAAACAGTGTAGAGGAATTGGAAGATACTGAATGACTAGGCCATAAAATAGCAAGAAGAGGTCAATGTAGGCACATATACTGTAGGAGAAAAGGACCCACATGTTACCTAAGCAGTGATGCATTTGGAGGGAGTTGTAGCCATTTCAGAATGAGATTTGGATTTATACTCAGTAGCTGCTGCACAATATGGTACCACGGGCTTGGTATTTTTCTTAGTATTTGCATATTAAACTTTACAATTGCTTGCATATATATGCATCATTTAAGCAAAATACAAAGTCTCTTAGCTTTAGCCATTTACAGCATAGCCTTAATTGTATAGATTCACTGTCACAGAATTGCAGAATGGCTGAGGTTGGCAGGGGCCTCTG